TAGGGAAAATATGGTACAGGGTATATGAATTGACTATATGGGAGGCAAGTTAAAAACATGCCATAACATGTTGATTCTCACTTGCAGGACAATTTGAGTTTTATGGTTGAAAGAGCTATGCTGTTTTCCTAGTAGTATGAGGCTGGAGGGCAGGTTTTCTCCATAATTACTTGCCAACCCCAGATTATTTTGGAACCAATTTTCAGAGTTTCCAGATTTAAAGGTTCACTTTGCCTTTTCCTGCTTCAGAAACAAGAGACTGGGTCTCTACTGTCTGAAGCTCTGAAGGAGGGCCCTTCTGCAACCTAGTTCTGGTTAGTTAATTTCTGGGCTTTAGAAGCCAAATAGCCATTTTGGGGTGGGGGGGGAGCAATGAGGCTCCCCACTGCCTGAAATGCAGCCCAAAGGGAAACTGCCCATGTGTTAAAGGCAAGAAACATTGATTGTTCCTCTTCTGCCCCCAATCCCAGCAGTTTCTCTACATAACTGATTTTAAGTGGTTCTAGATATACATAGCCACATTACTGTTCTAGACTTCAGAAACTTGGCTCTTTAATTACCAGAATTCCATCATCAGCTTAAGAATTCTATGGGCTGGCTACCTATAGCAGTCTTTTTTTTTAAGCATGGGATGGGAGCAAACTGCCCCTCACTCCTCCCCAGATCCCCCAAAAGCATGCTACAGGACCTGGTTGACCCCACTGAGCATATTTAGCTATCAACACTTAAACAAGCCCTTAAATTTTATTTTTAATTATAAGCAGACTTGCCAAATAGTCTCCTATCTCATAGTGACTCTGAAATAAACACAACAGTAATGCCAATATTGCTTGGGAACACCAAACCCACACTAGCATTTTTTTTTTTGGGGGGGGGAAACTAGGTCAGTGATTTCATGGGGCATCCATATTAGGCATGGATTGAGAACTCACCTTAAAGGAAAAAATATTAAGTAGCATCCTGCTATATAAAAAAACATTACTACACCATTGCTGCAAAGTGTACACTGCACTAGAGCCAGCTATAGTACTAGGTAATGAAATATAGCCCTGAAGTTCACATGCAGGGCAGCAATCTACAAGAACTACTTCCAGGTCAGGTACTGAAGTATTCTGACAATGTGAAACATCCCACAGTGACTGATTTTAACCATGGCTGTCAAGTAAATGACAGGCTTCAGGTCTCCCAGGATGCTACTTGACACTTTCCCCCAGTGAGAGAAAGAAAGCTTCAAGACTGAAACTCTTGGGGCCACTCTCATGTTATATTTAGATGTCAATGTGTACATCTAGAACTTAAGAGTGGAAGCAATGCACGGTCTGAAAAGCACAGCCGGAATATAAAATTATCAATCAGTGTTCTAAAGCTTTGAACAATCAACGGATTACCTAAAAAAGCAGCAAAACATTGTGTTGAGCACAGGATTTTTTTTTAAGTAAGAAAACACAAGAAAAACGATATACTTTTTTGCAGCACATGCAAATTCTTCTGTTTTATTGAGTTTATCTGCAGTTCTTCCCTAGAGACATAAGAGGTTGACAGAAACAGAAATAAACTATTTTCATAACCTGCAAGGGGACTGCCCCTCACCGTTTACTCAAGCAGCCTTGACTGACGTGGCCCACTTCCGTCCCTACACTCATGTTAAAACCATGTCAGGAAAAAGTTAGAAAACCATACTGCAGACTCTCTCACTTCTGCTTCAACAAAACAACACTGATTTCAGAAATATATGGTGTAGCAATGCTAATACAGGACTCATAAATTAAATCTTGCTTCCCACATTGTCTGGCTTTTATCTATGGGTAACAGCCTCGGGCTAGCCCAATGTTGTCAGCTCTCAGAAGCTAAGAGAGACCACAAGGAATGCAGAGGCAGGCAATGGCAAGCCACCTCTGAATGCCTCTTGCTTTGAAAGCCCTACAAGGTTGCTATAAGTCAGCTACAGCACTTTCCACCATCACCGAGGTTTCACAATACACATTGTATGGAAACAGGGTTGAAAACTTTTCCACATGCAAAGCGCCTGCGGTTTTAACAGTTTTCTGCTTGACAAGCAGAAATTCAGCAAGGGATACCTTTTCCAGGGAAAGTTTCAGCTGCTTGATGACTGTTTACCATGCAGTTGTTAAAAGCTCAGGAATCTTGCTAGAAAACAAAAGTGGGCTATCCTGCTTTCCCATTACTTTGATACTAATTTCCCTAACAGTATATAGGTGGTAAAAGCAATAGTTGGAAGCCTGCTGGAATTCCTGCTCTCTGGACCCATGTTTGATGAACTGGTTGTGCTGTATTGTATTTGTTTAAATTCATATCTAAAGAAGATTGTCATTTCTAAGCATTGCAAGCTAGTACTAATAAGCTAAACAGGACTTACACCCAAGAAACTGTAGAACCAAAGCACCATACTCCCCTGTACAAGAAACTAAGCTTTAACATAAAATCTGCAGTATAGGTCCAGCATGTGCTTCTCCAACACCTAATAGCAGCTATTTCAATGTTAAACCTAGTTCTAACAAACATTAAACAGCACTCCACTGCTAAAAAAAAGTCTAGAAACAATTTAATGTACACTATTCAGAACAAAAATCTGCATCTCAGCATAACCAAAAGGTTTATACATCAACTGCAGATATTTTTTTAACATGCAGGAGTATGTCAAATCATCTTTAAAGTCACGTTGTTCCACAACCCAAGTTAACGTATCTCTGTAACCCACATACTTTCCCTCTGTTTGCCAGATGACAAAGTAATACCTGACACGGAGGCAGCTTTCCCATAAATACCCTTCTGTTAGTGTATGCCCAAATTGATGGTCCCAATAAGAAAGAGTAAACAAACAAAAAATCAGCATTAGAAGATTTGAGGGAAAAGAACCTTTAAAAAATCAGATATGTCTGTGAAAGTGACACAGGTAGAGTGCCCTGCTCAGACTGAGAAAAGAGGAACGGTTCTTATATAAGATCTGGATTTAAATACAACATGGTCCCCTCATTTCTCATTTCAAATGGGACACTGGATTTCACACATGGGACAGAAAAGTTTTGCAGTAGATAATTTCTCACGGGAAAACGCTTGTAATGATTGATGAGAACGGAATACTACTACAATGCAATACGCATTATGTGGGCACCTCGTTAATTTTGACAGGACTTCGTTTCCTGAAGGCTCTTTACACTATCATCTTGCTTTCTGAAAACTCAGGGTACCCCAAGCACTACCCCTGCTAGTGAACCTCGGTCTCACCCCTGGGATTTCATTCCAGCTTCTGTCACAAGGTCCTCTTTAGAAATTAGATTATTTCCACCACAGACTCCCAGGGATCCCCCCTCCCTTCTGCACGTTGCTGACTGCAGCTTCAATTCAGCTGCTGCGGAAAAGCCCCCTTCTCAGCTTCCTCGGCCCCCGGTGAGCTCAGCGGCGTTTGAACTCTAGTAACCCCTGAACAGCTCGCCTCTAGCCAGAAGCAGCCGCCGCCACCGCCTTGGAAGCAGCGCACAGCAGGAAAAGGCGGAGGGGAGCTTTTCTCTCCGCTTATCTGTATTTATTTAAAAAAAAAAAATGGGGGGGGGGAGTGGGTGCAATAGAAAAAGGCTCAGGGATGGGAGGAATCTGAGGGCGGCCCGTGCCCGAGGACTGGGATCTCTTCAGGGTATGTGGGCAGAAAGCTCCCATTTTAGCAGTTCGGCACGGAGTTTGGATGGGCAAGGATGCTGAGAGGGGAGGGGATTCCGAAGGGCCCTTTCTGGAGGCGGGACTGCAGAGCTTCAGAAAGACAGGGGGGGGGGGCAGTGCGCCACTTGGGGGGCTCCGAAGGACCCGGGGATTCGTTTAAGGCGGGGCACATATTGGAAAGGCCCCAAGGATGGGAGGAGGCTCTCACTGGCGGGAGAAGGAGGAGGCAAAGAAACCACAGAAAGGAGCACAAGGGGGGGGGGGCGGGGGTGCGGCGGAAAGGCCGTTGGGAAGCTTCTTGGGATGCAGAGGAGAAGCTGTAAAAGGCTGAACGGGGGATCACCTGGCCAGATGCGACGCGTCTCGGCCCCAGCCGGGGGGTGGAGGCTGCTGGCTGCTTCTCTTGCTTGCTTGTCCCCTTCTTCCCCCTCCTGGCGGCGCCTACAGCAGCTGCCGCGGCTCCGTGTCTGGCCTGCGCTGGCTTAGCAGCAACCGGTCGGCCTCCCCAGGCAGCATCGTCGTCTTCGTCCCGCCACGCCTCCGAGCGCCGACCCCGCACGAGCTTCCCAGCCCCATTAACGGGCGGCCATGGATGGCCTCGCCGCGCTTTGCGCCTCCTGCCAGCAAGCCGCCGCCGCCGCCGCGCCGTCGCTCCCCCTCCCCTGTCAGCAACAGCGCATGCGCACGGCTCCGCCGAGACAAAGTAACTGGCCGCGCGGTGGACGGCGAAGGAGGGATTGTGGCTCGCCCCCCCCGGGGGGATTCGGCGCGTGCAGCTCTTTTTACTGCACCCAACGGTGCGTGCGCCCGGCCCGGGCTCAGATCCCAGGCAGCCGAAGTCTACCCCCAGGCTCTGAGAGATATAATTCAGAGAAAGTTCATAGCCTGCCAGACATGACGATTATTCCAGTCGGGTAGCCGTGTTAATCTGTAGCAACAAAATGAAACAGGCGAGTCCAAGGGCGTTTTAGAGATTAATTGAAGTAATTCCAGCATAACCTTCGGTGAGTCAGAGCTCACTCCGCCGGTGTGCTAATGGATGTACAGCTCGTGCATCTGGTGAACTGAGCTCCGACTCCCGAAAGCCTGCCTCTTCACAGCAACCCCGGACTTCCTTGGTGGTCTCCCATCCAAGTACTAACCGCAGGCTAGCATGGGCTATCCAAATTAGGGCTAGTGAGGTTTACTCCCAAGAAATTGAATAGGATTGCAGACTGCTAGTCCTACCCTGTGCAATATTTATTATCCCACTGTGTTCTGTGTCAAGTAAGTGCTCATAGCAATGGTATTCTAGACAGGAGAGGAAAATACCATTGCTATGAACACTAGTTTTTATTTTATTTATTTATTATCACATTTATACCTCGCCCTCCCCGCAAAGCGGGCTCAGGGCGGCTTCCATAAAAACATAAATACATTAAAATTACACAATATTTAACCACGCGAATAAAAACAATATAAATACAAAGTGCTGGCAGCAGTTAAAAATTAACCTAGATGGTATATTGTCAGAGCGAATTTCCACTGCCCAGATGTTCCACGATGTTTCTGCTCATAATCAGCTGGCTGTTGAAACCACAGACCAGAGCTCTGCAGTAACGGCCTGCAATAGCCCAGTTGGGACAAGAGAACCATCCTTTCCCTCTCCATGAAGACGATGTGAGAATGATGATCAATTTAGCTTTGTTCATTTCAGTACAGCAGGCAGCCTGGTCCTATACCTGGCCTGTTCCGCATACTGACTTTACTCCTGATCTTCTGGGTGATCAACCTCCAAGTTTTGGAATTGGCTTGGAACTGAGCACTCCACACCTCATCCTGTTTTCTGTACTACTCCCTGCTTTAAATCTCACCCTGGGCGAAAGGGACAATAAAGGTAGTCCACGATGAATGGGATTACTAAAATCAAAGGCAAGAAAATGTCAAGGAAAATGTCATGACACATAACATTGTGTGCGCTGCTGAAGAAATTAGCAAACTGGCAGGAAAGTAGGAACTTTTTGAACATATCATGATAGTGAACATTAGCAAACATTGATGGCAGTGGTACAATGCAAGTGAAGGGATGACTTGAAGGGTGGACTCAGAGGTTACAGGGGGGAAATCAAAATAATCCAAACTCAGAATAATAAAAATTGTCCAGGGGTGAATGGTTGCCTTTAAAATAACAGATTAATGCATTATCGCATGTATAGCGCTTAGTTATACATTAATGCACTAATGGATCCTGAGGAGGATGTTCAAAGGAGGCGTAGATCATCACTGTGAAAAATAACAATTCAAGTGTATCGTACATGGAAGTCAGCTGACTTTCAATCAGCTTGAAAACAAAATTGCCCTATAAGCACTCTGAAGAAAGCCCAACAAAACCCTGACTTTGACCCGACATGGAAAAAAAGAGTTGAGTAATGAAAAATTAGAAACTTTGTAACATGATGGAATATGATTGTATATCGTGTTGGAAGTCAAGGACTGTACACTGTCTCTTAACCTCAGTGTTTAGAGAGGGCTACAATAGAGTCAGACATGGGCTCAGGACCCACTGACCATTCTTACTTTCTCTCTCTGACACTATCCCTTTGAAGTATATTGCTATTCTTAGGGAAAGACTTCATTTCTTCTGTTCTGACACCTTCTCTCAAACGCACACACTTTGCCAGATCTCTCCACCTTGGCATCACGGATGCAGGACATGCATCCTGCATCTGCATCCATCCCAGTTAGTTAGATTAGGCTATTATCCTGTCTCTACTCTTTCCTGTTTAGAATGGAGTTCTAGCAATAAAGAAACTCATAGTAGTTTGCAAAGATATAAAAAGGCTTTGTTCTCTTATCAGCACACGCACACAGAGACTGGATCCAGGTGGGTAGCCGTGTTGAAGTAGCAGAACAAGGTTAGTAAGTGTGTAATGTCTGAGTAAATATATAATTGAGGAAATTCTGTTTCACTGTATCTGAAGAAGTTTGCCCACGAATGCTTATACCTTGAATAAAACTTTGTTGGTCTTAAAGGTGCCACTGGACTCAAACACAGACTGGAGATGCTTTGCTATGTGGTAAGCCTTGTGCACTCTGCTAACTTTGCTAAAGACTCCCAGCTATATAAACCAGAGAATCTGACATAGCCAAGGTAAAGTACACATGTGAAATCGGCCCATTTACTTGGAAATAAGTTCTTTCCTGTTTGCTTACAGTTGCAGTCTAAATAGTTACTGGGGTCATCTGGTTTGATTATAGGGCATGTGTTTGAGTGTATCATATGCTCAAAATGTTTATTTGGATCTATCTGAAGACGCAACTGCAAATCTCCCTGCTGAGATTAACCACCATCTCTAATTTTCTGCGGGAAAACTTGTTTTAAATGGCACAGTGGTAAATATCAGTTTTTACCAGGAAAATAGAGATTAAAAGTGGGGGGAACCCTGTTACCATAGTCAAGCACAGTTATTGTAGTACCAGTGACACAATAGCAAATGTTTCTAAAATAACAGGTGATGTTAATCCAGACCCCAAATAAGGGTAGTCTTGATTATTCTGGAGAATCCTAATTTTGGCCTATTACAGGCCTACCTATGATAGGGGTAAATTTTTTAAAAGTAGAAGCAGCCTAAGTATGTGATTTCAGGAGCTTGGAGATTCAATAAAGGCAAGGTGAATATGATAATTCAACAGTCTGCTAATGACAAAACAGAGGTGCCACCATCCTGACACATTGATGTCACTTCTGATATGACTAGAATTAACATCAGGGCACAGGGGAGCGGTGGCACAGAGGATTTATCCTCTGGTTAACATCTGAACTGAACAGAGTTGCTGTCAGTTCTAGCCCGCGCTGGTGTGAGCTACCAGCTTTGTCCCCAACTTGCCGTCCACCCAGCGGTTCGAAAGCTTCGGCGAGTAGATAAAATGGGTACCACTCCTTAGCGAGGGTGGGCACACTAAACCCCCGTAGGGGAGGTGTTAGCCGGTGAATGGAATGTCCAGCTCGTAAGCTCAGAAGCCTGGAAAAAAGACCTCTTCGGCACCAAGAAGCCTGTAATGGGCCAATCCGGCCAGGTGGTGGCAGTGTGGCGCTACGACTCAAAGCGGCCCAAGAAGAACTAACGTCATTAAGCCAAGCCGAAAATGAATGCCGCCCGGGACACGACTGAAGCCTACAGCTGAACAAAATCCCCGTCGGCTGCAAACGTGTGCAATTTAAAGAATTATATGTTGTCCTCCCTTACCCCTATCATTGTTAGTCCCTTGTAAAAACCTGTGTAACTGTAAATCGCTCAGAGCCAGCAGCTCTGCAGGATTGAGCGATCAATAAATCGAAAGGTATTATTATTATAAGGTATTATCTCTGGAAACACTCTGGCATTCCGTCAAAACTTTGTGGTGAAACCACAGAGTATGGACCAAATGGTAGAACAATACCAACAATGCAATGATGCATTTCTGGTCATGCCAGAAGTGACATCAGCGTGTTACCAGCAAGGCTGCCGCCAACAGTTAGTCTCCTGCTGTTTGTCAGCCTTGTGCTGGTAATCCTTGGGGATTTTATGTGTGTGTGTGTGTGTGTAAGATTTCAGACTTTCCTGCAAACCTAGGGTATTTTTCAGGTTCATAGGATGATCAGTCTTGCCTGTTCATGGCCCCAAACTCCAGATTTAAGTTTACATGTTTTTGGCCACACTAAGAATCTCCCTTATATATAAAAGCCAAATGGTGGTGGCACTTCTCTAGAACATTCCACA